CAGACAGGAACATAAGACCTACAGAAAGAGACTCGTGGTCAACATGTCTGCTGTGGCCGTACTTCAAGACAGGCTACCAGGGCAATTGAGACACCAGTGGATGTGGATCTGGGGGAGAAAACTGCCACCAGCAATGTCGCTTCCCACAGTCAGAGGTTCCCTATTAAAAAGGGCCCATTCAGGCGGGCATGGTGGTTCAAGCCTGTAATCCCAGCACTTTGGGAGGCCGAGGCAGGCGGATCATTTGAGGTCAGGGGTTCGAAACCAGCCTGGCCAACATGGTGAAACCCCGTCTCCACTAAAAGTACAAGAATTAGCTAGCTGCGTGTGGTGGTGGGTGCCTGTAATCCCAGCTACTCGGGAGGCTAAGACAGGAAAATTTCTTGAGCTCGGGAGGCGGACGTTGCAGTGAGCCAAGATTGCGCCACTGCATACTCCAGCCTGGGGGACACAGTGAGACACCGTCTCAATTTAAAAAAAAAAGGCTCATTCATTACCATAGCAAGGGAAGGCTAGGTGGAGGTCAGGAAAAAGACAATCCCCATCTTGAAGGGTCTCTTCCAACTCTGAGTGTGGTGTTTCACAACACAGAGATACTGCCTCTTGGGCCTCTGTCACAAGCTCCCATGGTGCCTCACCTGTGATCTCAGCTGCTGGGCCAGCCATTCCCTGGACTTCCGCGCTGCCGGGGACAGGAGTGGGAGTGAGCTGAGGACTATTTGGACGTGAGGCTTCCTGGGATTGGGACTGGGCTAGGGCAGGCTTCGGCAGAGGTGGAGGCGTGGAAACAGCGGGTGGGTTCTGGAGCAGATCTTCAGGTGGTGGCACAGGCACAGCCACAGGGGGTGAGCTCCATGCCTCCTTGTTCACCAGCAGAACCTCAATGGGACCACTCACACTCTTCAGGTGAATCTGGTACTTCTTCTGCCCATTGAGACCCTAGAGATGGGTGGTAAGGGATGGGAGATGGGTAGAATTGGAAGCAGGCTTGGCTCCTGCCCGACGCTGTCAGGACCAGTGTCCTCTCCCACCCAGGATGCCCATCCTCCTAGATAACCCCAAACTCCAGGCCTCCCCTACCTGCCCCACCCGGGACTTATCAGTCTCCACAGCCAGCACCCGCCCTCAGCTGACCCCGCCTGCCTGGGCTAAGCACCCACCTCTGGGATGGGCACCTCCAGGCTGGTGCCTGATGGGGCCCGGATGGCCAAGAGGGTATCTCCTAGAATGACACGGAGAATGGGTCAGAGCCCATGGGCTCAATCTGAGCTGGGAACAGAGGTGCCTGTCTTTTGGAGCAAGGCAGGAGATCATGGTCTCTGAGGGACTAGACAGCGGACCTCACCCATTCCCCATAGTGGCCGGGCAGAGCTAAAGCTCTTCTCTTCCTGAGAGCCCAGAATCAGTAACCAGGAAATCTGGGTTCAAGTATGTGGAGTCAAATATCACTGGCCACAGGCACCTCACTCCTCCACCGATGGCTGTTCCCTAGGTGAAGGTATTCTAGCCAAGGCCAACATCCCTTTCCCATGACCAGTCAGGAGGATACATGATGGAGAAGAAACACATCAGCGGAGCACAGTGGCTCACACTTATAATCCCAGCACTTTAGGGGGTTGAGCGGGGAAGACAGCTTGAGCTCAGGAGTTCAAGACCAGCCTGGCCAACATAGCAAGACCCTGTCTCTTTTTAAAAAAAAAAAAAAAGAAAGAAAAAAAAGGAACATATCTTGCATTCACAATGCAATTAAACTAACAAGCTGGAGGTGGGCACCCCCATGCCCTGCATGTAAGAGCCTGCACACAAGCAAATACACACATATCCTCTCTCCCTTTCTCCCCCTTGTACCTCTATCATACCCAAGAAGCCAAATCCAGGAAACAGTACAGTTGGGAACAGACCCAGGAACCCACTCCAGAATTCCTGTACCCTCTTGGTATAGCTGACCTCCACAGGGTCCCAGTGACACTCAGACAGAAGACTTACCCTGCCTGGTTCCTCTCTGAGCAGGCCCCAGAAACCCTCTTAAGAGACGGAACTCTCCTGAGACACTGAGCCCAGTGCTCAGGGATTTGGTTGAGCCCAGGCCACCCCCTCACCCCTACCCAGGCTCTGCTCACCAGCAAAGCATCTGCAGATGTCCTCATGAGTGACGTAGGCCAAAGTGTGAGGGTTAAGGAGAATGGCCGATGCCCTAAGGTGACAGATGGCAGACTACAAAAAAGACCCAATTCTTTAGCCAAGGTCTGACACACAGGCCCCTCAGAGAAAGTTCTGGGGACTCAGGTCCACTGGGGGAAGGATCACAGGCTAAGACTGGAAGGGGAGAGGCTCTGAGGAGGGAGCCTGAGGCTGGGCCATGGCCAGGGGCTACAAGACAAGCTCCCAAGAGGAACAGGGAGCTTGCCCAGGGCAAGTTGAACCAGAGGGCCCCTTGCCCACTCCCCCCAGGAGGGACCGCCAGGAGGATATCAGCTGTTCTGCACGTCCTCTGTGACGTTCCGGATGCTCTGCTGCACCCACACCTTGTGCTGGTCTAGTTCTTGCTCCCGCTGCTGCAGCTCCTCGATCTCTGCCTTGAGCTCAATCAGCTTGTCGGCAATCTCCCGGGTATTGCAGCCAGGCCCCACACCCCTGAGCCCAGGGAGTGGGGCTGAGAGGGACTGCTGAGAACTCTGGGTCCCACGGCCCCTGCCTTCTTTGGCACCCTCCACCCCACACCCGACACTTCTGGGTGGGAGACTCTACTACCCTCCCACTATCCCCACTCACTTCCACTGGATGCTGTTCTTGGACTTTTTCTCGATCAGCCCGATACCTTCCAAAACATTGGTAATGTCGTAAATCCGCCGCTTCTGGCGTACAGCTAGGGTGTCAGCTGCCTGGCAGACAGAGTGGAGAATGCTCAGCCCCACTCTCGGGTGTACCCCCAGCCACCCTGAGACGTGGTCTGGGAAGGGAGTAACCTGGATTCCAACCCTGTAGTGCCTGCCAGGCGCTACTGCAGCTCAGGCCCGCAGCTCTGTCCCATAGGCAGCTCTTCTCCTCGCCAGCCAGGAAGGGCCACGAGGACGAACACCTGGAGCCCTGAGCCTGGCCCATAGCTGTAGCTCAATGGCCTCGGCCGAATGAATGAAACATTCCCCGGCTTCTCTCCTGTGAGAAAGCACACGATGGCGGCCGGCTCTCGGAGGACCCAGCTGGGCCGCCCCCGGGGTTCCCGCTACCGGCCCAGGCCTGGTCCACCATCCTCCCTTGTCGCCCCTTAGCCCGGGCCGCACCAGCTTGAGGTCAAGCACGCCGTCCTTGGCCTCCTGCAGAAGAGACACGAACTTGGTGGTGAGTAGTCCCAGGCTCTTTTCGTGCCGGCTTGGAGTGCCCGGGGGCGGCGGCGCCTGCGGCCCGGCCTCCGCCATCGCGTCCGCCCGCCGCCTCCCCTCAGCCAGGCCAGGCCAGGCCGGCGCCGCCGCCACTTCCGCTTCCGTTCCTGGCCGTCCGGCAGCCGGAGCCAGCGTTGCTGCTTCCGCTTCCGCCCCGTGCGTCTTCCAGGGAACGCGGCGCTATTGCTGTCTGTGGGTGCAACCGCAAAACTTGAGGGACCATTAGCAAATGTCCAGCCGCCAAATAAGACGAAAACTACCTGGGTAGACCGGGAGTTGGGATGAAGTTAGGGAGGAATGAGGAGGGCGTCAGTGGGCAGCCCTGGCAGTAGAGAAAGGGATGCCATCGGAACTTTCCTTGCCAATCTGCCCCAACATCACTAACTCTGCCCAGTCCCCATCTCAGGAGACAAGACCACACTACCTGACTAATCCAATCTGTTCCCTCAAACCAGTTCCTTTTTAATTTTTTTCTCTTTATTTATTCTTTTATATATTTCAAACTCATTTTACTGCCACATCAAACCTGTTCCTAAAGGTTGCCCTACTGTCTTGGGGTCACCCTATCTATTCCTGTCCCTCACTTCCTGCCAAACAGCAAGCACTAACTATATCTACCTTGTCCACCTCTCTCCATCCATGGTCCTAGCCTCATCTTTCGCTCATCTTGTCCTCCCGCTACAGTGCTCAGAGACTATGGGGTTATATACACTTCAGCCAATGCAAACGTATTTACCTATGTGTATATATCAGTAAAGCACTCAGAGTCATTTCTGGCATGTAGGAAAGTTTGCTAGGGTCATTTTGTTACTTTTAACATTGTTACTATATATTATTGTTTCTTTTAGGGCAGGTTCTATGGGAAATGGGACTCGAGACAGGGTTTTGCAGCAAGTTTGTTGGGGATCCACACTTCTTTTTTTTTTTTTTTTGAGACAGGGTCTCACTCTGTTGCCCAGGCTGGACTGCAGTGGCAAGATCAATGCCATCTCAGCTTCCTGGGCCCAAGCGATTCTCCCACCTCAGCCTCCCAAGTAGCTGGGACCACAGGCATGCACACACCATGCCCGGCTCATTTATTTTTAGTTTTTGTAGAGATGAGAGTCTCACTATATTGCCCAGGCTAGTCTCGAACTCATGGGCTCAAGCGATCCTCAGACCTCAGCCTCCCACAATGCTGGGATGACAGCGTGAGCCATCACACCTGGTCAGGATCCACACCTTTAAGGGAGTAAGACAAGCAGAATTGAGCAGATGCAATTATATTATAGGCCTCAGCCTATGCCACTAGGATCTCTGAAATTGGGGTAGCACTTCTGAAGAGTTTATGTTCACGTGATGGTACCATGCTTTTGCACCCCAATATTGATCTCAGCAGCCTACACTCCTGGCAGCTGAAGAATGAGCGCTTCTGTCCCGAAGGGTGGATTTGGGTGGTGGACTGAACATCCACTAAATTATTACCACCTTATAGTCCCTTCCCTGGCTCCCTATAACTCTCAAGATAAACACAGCTGCCCAGTTGCGGTGACTCACGCCTGTAATCCCAACACTTTGGGAAGCTGAGGCAGGCAGATCACTTGAGCCCAGAAGGCTGCCGTGAGCTATGATGGTGCCACTGTACTCCAGCCTTGGTGACAGATCGAGACCCTGTCTAAAACAAAACAAAAAAAAAACACAGCTTTCATGACTCTCTCCTGCCATCCCCCACCATACCCCTCTTCACAACAGCCTGCCACCTCTCACTCCTCCGCAGAGGTACACATCCTCCTCGGAGGCTGACCAACACAGTTTTCATCCTGTGCTGTTGATGTCGTCTGCATCCATATCTACACACCCTGCCCACCACCCCAGCTTGAGGCCAAGTCTAGCAAATCCCTGTCTCCTCTCCTGAGCACTAAGAGGTTCTGGGTGGGCTGGTCAAGACTGGTTGAATACAAGTACACCCCACCCCTCCACCCCTCAGGGAAGTGTCGCCCAGCCCTCCCCACCCTCCGTGCAGACACTCTTTCCTGTTGGGAATAAAATGCCAGCGACTCAGCTTCCTTCCTTTCTGTTGATGGCCTTGGGGAGGGAGGAGCCTTGGTGGGAAGAAGGGGCTTCTGGGCTGGGGAGTGGGAGAGAGATTTCTTTGGGGAGAGGAATTCAGCTGCACACTGGAGTCAGCTGGAGTTGCCCAGGCCCTGTGAGCAAGTGGCAGGCGTGCCCAGCTGCATCGGGGGAGAGGGCTGTTCTCAAGACCAAGGTCATTTGTGGAGGGAGAACTGGACGCCTGATCAAATCTGGTAAGTTTTGTATCAAACTGTCCTGTGCAGCTCAGAGCAGGACCAGGGTCCAGTGGAGGCCTGTGCCCACCCTGACTTGCTTGACATCTGCAGGAGGCACGACTGGGAAACCTAGCAGGCAAAGCCTCCCAGGTGCCCTCCGCATCACAACCCCTCCCTCTCACTTCCTGAGAGGGCCAGGAAGAACCTCCTTCCTCCTTCTCAGAAGGGCTTAGACAGAGGCAGCAGCTCAGAGGGGCATCTACTCTGCCTGCTTGCCCCGGGCCCACCTCAGCTCTGGCTCCTCCAGGCCGGCAATGGACTCAGCAGCCAAGGATGAGATGCAGCCGGAGTTGTCCCCTGGTATGAACCTTCTGGGTGGACTGGGGGAGGAATGATGGCAACAAAGATGGGACTGGCTGGGCGCAGTGGCTCACGCCTGTAATCCCAACACTTTGGGAGGTCAAGATGGGCGGATGACCTGAGGTCAGGAGCTCGAAACCAACCTGGCCAATATAGTGAAACCCTGTCTCTACTAAAAATACAAAAACTAGCTGGGCGTGATGGCGCACGCCTATAATCCCAGCTCCTCGGGAGGCTGAGGCAGGAGAATCACTTGAACCTGGGAGGCGGAGGTTGCAGGGAACCGAGATTGCACCACTGCACTCCAGCCTGGGCAACAGAGCGAGACTCCATCTCAATAAACAAACAAAGAAATAAATAAGAAAGCTGGGACTGGGGGCACTGGGCCCTCCTTCCCTAACTACACGGCTGCCCAGGCTCTTCCTGCCCAGGGCCTGAGTGGCCGGAGCAGGAGCGGGCAGAGCAGCTGGCCCGGGGTGCAGCGCTTAAGTGGGCCTCGGGCATCTTCTACCGGCCGGAGCAGCTGGCCAGGCTAGGCCAGTACCGCAGCCGCGAGGTGCAGCGTACCTGCTCCCTGGAAGCACGCCTCAAGGTAGGCATGGGGTGGGGGGTGCCGGTGCTGGGACTGTGCTGCAGGGCTGGCCTGGTCTTACTGGCTCCATCTCTCCACAGTCAGTGGTGCAGTCATACCTGGAAGGCGTGCAGACTGGTGTGTGGCAGCTGGCCCAGGCCATTGAGGCAGTGCAGGGAACCCGGGAGGCCCTGAGCCAGGCCCGTGGGTTGCTCCAGGGCATGTCCCAGGCCTTACGGACTCTGCAGCCCCTACGGGAGCGGGTTGCCCAGTACAAGCAACTGCAGGCCATGTCTCACTTGTTGCCTCGGCTGCGGGCAGGTGAGCGTGCAGGGACCCTGGGCCTCAGCCTCCAATAGTCAGTCCACAAACACCCATCCCTAATGAAGGGGCTGGGGCACTAGATGGGGAACTGCATAGAGGGGCACACCAGGGACCTCCCAGAGAGTAGCCCGGGCTTCCCATGGCCTACGAGGCAGGGTGCAAATCAACTCATCCTGGGATTCCCACATGTGGGATGCTTGAGTCAGGACGGACACCCAGTCACATGACTCTGGCTACCTGGTTATCAGTATATTGAAACTTTTCCCTACAGAGTGGCTGAGTGAGTACTGGCAGGACCCCCCGATCTCCCCTGCCTTCCCTCCGGGATCCTCAGCTTCCTCATGTTCCATGAGCTCATGGGTTGACCTCTGGCCCACCAGGACATTGCCAAGATCCTCTTAGATTGGCCAGTACTCTACTGATTTTTTTTTTATGTATTTATGGCTTTTTGTTCATTTTTTGTTTTGTTTTGTTTTTGAGACAGTCTCACTCTGTCGCCCAGGCTGGAGTGCAGTGGTGCGATCTCAGTTCACTGCAACCTCCATATCCCAGGTTCAAGCGATCCTCCTGCCTCAGTCTCGCAAGTAGCTGGGATTACAGGCCACTATGCCTGTCTAATTTTTGTATTTTTAGTAGAGATGGGATTTCACCATGTTGGCCAGGCTGGTCTCAAACTCCTGACCTCAAGTGATCTGCCCACCTTGGCCTCCCGAAGTGCTGGGATTACAGGCATGAGCCACTGTGCCCAGCTTACTCTACTCTACTGGTTATTAAATATTTTATACATCACCCCAGCCCTGGGCCTCAGTATCCCCTGCCGTACACATTGAGGCGGTGGGAAGGCTGAGACCCAGGGCCATCTCCTTTCCACTCCATTAGTGCCAGCTGCAGTGGCCCACACACAGACCCTGATTGATGCCCAACAGTTCTTGGAGGCATATATGAGCCTTCGGGAGCTGGAGCAGCTTCGAGAGGATACGTGGGCACCCCTGGGAGGCCTGGAGTTGCCAGTCTTCCAGGGGCTGGACCTTCTGTTCGAGGCACTGGGCCAGGCTGTGGAAGCAGCTGCAGGGGCCGCGGGGAAGCTGGCACGGGAGGACCCAGCCCTGCTGGTGGCTGCTGTGCGTGTGGCGGAGGTGGAGACTGGACGAACAACCCCCCTGGGCCAGGTCCCCCGGGACTGGCGGCAGCGCTGTCTGAGGGCACTACAGGAGGGCCTGGAGCAGACCCACTTTGGGTCACCTCTGTTGCCTGCGCCAGGGGCCCTACCAGGGTGGCTGGAGGCTCTGCGAGTGGCCCTGCCAGTTGAGTTGGCCACAGCTGAGGCACTAGTAGCGCCTTGCTGCCCGCCGCAGTACAATGTGGTCCAGCTATGGGCCCACACACTGCATAGCGGTCTGCGCCGCAGCCTGCAGCACCTCCTTGCAGGGCCTGAGCTGGAAGCTGCGGATGCCTTCGCCTTGCTGCACTGGGCACTGCATGTATACCTGGGGTCAGTGCCTTTGGGGCGGCGGGATGTGGGGGATCAGAGGCTGGGGACTTGGTGTGACACCAGGCGACCCATCTCCAGGCAGGAAATGATGGGGAGCCTGGAGTTGGGGCCTGAGGCTGATGTGTCGCAGCTGGAGCCCCTCCTGACCTTGGAGAACATTGAGCAGCTGGAGGCAACATTTGTGGCCAACGTCCAGGTGAGTAGTTGAGGCAAAGGTCCAGAGCAGTCCTATGCATCTGCTGTGGGCCTTTATCTGCAGAGTGGAATGTCTACCCATCTCCGGCAGGGTCAGATCCCTGCTACATTCCTTTGCCCCTGGCCCCTCCCTCCAGGCAAGCGTGTCCCAGTGGCTGCAGAATGCACTGGATGGGGAGGTAGCTGAGTGGGGCCGGGAGCAGGGGCCCAACACGGACCCGTCTGGCTCCTATTACTCACCAATGCCAGCCATCGTGCTGCAGGTAGGTGGGAAGTGGCCAGACAGGCAGGCACCCTCCATGGGGCAATGGGGAGGAGAGAAAGGAGGGAGGCTTTGCTGATGGCTGCTCATTTCTGCCTGCAGATCCTGGAAGAGAACATTCGTGTGGCCAGCCTGGTCAGTGAGTCACTACAACAGCGAGTGCATGGCATGGCACTGTCAGAACTGGGCATATTCCTGAGGAGGTCTGTCGAGCCACTGACCCATTCCTGATCCCTATCCCTGCTCCCCAGGCAGCCGAAAGGGACTCTGAGTGAATAAGACATATCACAGGGAAAGGGCTCTTTCAAACAAGGACTTGGGTATCTTGGAGGTGGGACAGGAGTACCAGGGACTGGGGCTGTGGGGGTGCCAGCATAGCAGCAAGTCCAGGAGCCACCTCTGCCCATTGCAGCTTCAGTGACGCTCTGATCCGATTCTCCCGAGACCACCTCAGGGGGAAAGCAATGGTCCCTCATTATGTGCCCTACCTACTGGCCGCCCTCAACCACCAGTCAGCACTCAGGTACCAGAAGGCCCCCGGGGAACCCCACCTTCACTAACCCCCTATTGAGTACCTATTGTGTATGGGCCCAGCCCACACTAGGACACTAGGGACTTTGGACTCACATCGCCCTGGGGTTCCAATTTTAGTTCTGCTAATTACTAGTTATGTGACCTTGGATGGGTTACCTAATCTCTCTGAATCTCACTTTTCTCATTAGTATTATGTGGGTACTAATGGAATGTTCTGAGAATCACATGAGATAACATGTCAAGTGCCTACCATAGTGCCTGGCACATGATGTCAATTGCTCATTCGTCCAGCAAATATTTCAAGGCCCTACTCTGTGCCAGTAATATCTGGGGTTACAGCTGTGTGTACACACACACACACACACTGCCTTCCTCTTGGGTGGTATGTTCTTTTTGGTGGGGGCAAGGAAAACAAGTTAGTGATGATTTTTACTCCCTCCTCACTGGGATAGTTCCCTCCCTTTACGAATGAGGAAACAGAAACAGAAAGAATGTTTTGCTCAAGGTCGCACCGCGAATTAGAGGCAGGTCCCCGCTGGGCTGTGTCCTTTGTAGCTCGCCAAGCGCCGCCTCCCAGCCCTGGTCCATGCCTGAGACCAGAAGTGCAGGGAGCCGCTGTTCTCGCTCCCTCCCATCAACACTTGCCCCACAAGGTGGCGCCGGAGGGGCTGGACCACCGAGGGCCATGCGGGCCTTGGCCTTGGTCCTGAAGCCGTAGTTTTGCTCGGTCCAGCTCCTCAGTGTCTGTCCTGCAGCTGGACGGGGCGCCTTCAGGGGCCTTAGCTCCGGTGGAAGCTGCGCTGGACAAGTTACAGAGGAGGATCTGCCGCCTGGTGTTGGAGGCGCTGCAGGTGGAGCTCCAGGTGAGGCCTCCTTCAGGTCAGGATGGGAGAAGGAGGTGGAGAGGTGGCGGTACAGCGTACAATGGGGGTCTCCGCGGCAATGCCAGGTCTGGATCATTTCCCCAGCCCCTGTTCGCGGACCTGCCCTCGCGCCAGTGGCTGTCGAGCCCTGAGCTGCTGGAAAGTGTGTGCGAACGGACGGGGCGCTTCTGCCGGGACTTCGGGCGCGTGCGGAACCCCACGGTTCAGGTGTGTTGGGGGAAAAGGCTGGGGAAGGGGCGGCGCGGGTAAGAGAGGCGACCTGCACCCACCTGATTGCCTCCCCGCAGCTGCTACTGGCTGAGGCCGAGCGCGCCGTGGTGCTCCAGTACCTGCGCGCGCTGATGCAAGGCCGCCTGGTGTGCCGCGGAGCAGACGAGAGGACCCAGGCGGCCGAGCGCCTGCGGCACGATGCTGCCCAGCTTCAGCAGCTTTTCCTCGGTTTGGTGAGAGCTTCTTGGCGGGCAGACGGGCGGGAGTCTCAGTGGTTGGGTGGGAGACGAGGGCTGGCGCGAGACCCTACCCCGACGTGCTCAGGGCCTGGAGGAGAACGCGCACTGCGCGCCGGTGCTGCTCGCCCTGAGGGAGCTGCTAAACCTCCGCGACCCCGCGCTGCTGGGCCTGGAGGTGGCTGGCCTGCAGCAACAGTTTCCCGACGTGAGGTGCGGACGGGGGTCCAGGAGGGAGGAGAAGCCGGAGGGCGGGGAGAACGGGGCTGACACGCCTCCTTGGTGCCCCTGCAGCGAGGACCACGTCTCCGCCCTCTTGGGCCTGCGCGGTGACTTGTCCCGGGAGCAGCAACTGGCCGCTCTCAGCTCGCTTCAGGCTGCGCTGCCGCCCTCGCCCCGCGCTGGCCGCCGCGCCCTCTTCAGCCTCGTGCCCGCCCCAGCGCCCGCGCCGGCCTCCTGCCTGCCCTCGGGGTCCTGCGCCCGAGCCCGGCTGCTCTCAGAATAAACCGCGGCTCCCGGACGCCTGAGTGTGTGTGTGTTGGGGAAAGTGGGATGGAATAAAAGTGCCCACGAGGGTTCAGGGAATCCTTGCACAGTGACACGCTTAAAGTATCCTGGCTCCCGACCTGGTAGACGGGCTGCGCCCCGCCTATGCAGGCATTTGCCCTCTGTGCGGACTGCGTTCCCGAGGCCGCGGGCTACGCCCCCACGTCTCAGCGCCCAGGCCGTGAGCAAGAGTCTCGGCCGCCCTGGCCACCTGGGAGCCCCTGAAGCCCAGTAACTCGCTGGGGCCTTGGGAAGGGGGCGGGCCCAGGACCACGAACACCACCCCCTCAGCCCTGCCTGGCTTCGCTCCCAACGGCCTCGGGGGCGCGCCGCCGTGGAGACTGACGAGAAGCTCCCCGCTTTCGTAAGAGCGTGCGCGCGCCCGAGGACGTACGTCATCGGTGTCGGCTCCCGCCGGCCGGGCGGCCGGTGGCTGGTGTAGCAGAGCTGGAGCGGCGGGCGGCAAGATAAAGGGCGAACAGGTGGGGGCACCGCACGCGGACGGACCCCCCCAAACGCCGGGAGGAGGCGCGCGACGCGACCTTTCCTGATCTCCCGGAGAACCCTCCACTCCATTGTCTCCTGGCCCCACCCTCCATTGGACACGCCCTTCGCCTTATCCCCCACCGTTTATTGGCTACAGGTCACGCCCCTCCTCAATTCCTGGTTCCCCATTGGCTCTTCACCTTGTCCTCTCCCGGGGCTTCTTATCCGCACAGGCCACACCCTCTCATTTGTCACCAGACCCCGCCTTTAGTAGTCGAGGGCTCCTCCCCCATCCATCCTTCATTCATTATGCACCTAGTGCTGGGTGCTTGGTACAGGGGGTTGAATCAGACCCCGTTCCTGCCTTCGGGGAGTTCAGGGGATGGTGGGAGAACACGGACCTAGGCTCCGACAGTGACAGCTCTGAGTAAAGAAGTCGCCGAAGCAGTGGGACACTAGATGCGGGGAAGGCTTCCTGGAGGAAGTGAGGCCTAAACTGAGCCTTGAAGAATGGTTGAGTTTGCTCCAGGAATATATTGCAAAGGCATTCTTGGCGGAAGGACCTGAGACGTGAAAGAAACAGGCGTATTCTGGTAATTTCGAGGAGGTATGTCGAATGAAAGAAGGGGAGATGGAGGGGACTGGGCCAGGCAGAAGCCTGTAAAGGGGTGAGGAGTCCAAAAAAGTGTACAGTTAGTTAAAGGGAGTGAAACCTGGGACCTGTAGTCTTTTCAAGCAGCTGGTCATTAGGCAGGGTAGAGGGGAGTGGAGAGGGGAAGATGAGGTCTAGATAGGGAAGCAAAGTGCAGGGAAGGAATAATTCTAGTTCTGAAAGAAGGGCTCTTGGATTCATTTATTTATTGAGCAACTGCTGCGGGCCAGGCACTGTTCTGTGTTCTGGGGACATAGCTGTGAATGATGGAAAGGATAAAACAGATAACTATCAATATACCTATCATTCAAATATAAAGTGTACTGAAGTGATGGTGATGACTGCTAGAGAGAACAATAATTTGGGGAAGGGAAGATAGTGGAGAGGGGAGAGGAGGTTTACTATTTTATAGAGGGTGTGTTAGAGAGGCTTTTCTAATAACATGGTATTGATGCAGAGATTTGAGGAAAGTGAGAAAGTGACCCATGCCATTATATAGGGGGAGGAACATCCCAGACAGAGGACATATTCTGTTTGATATGCCTGTTAAACATTCAAGTGACGACAGTGCACTGAAGCTGGACATGATGGCATGTGCCTTTGGTTCCAGCTACTTGGAAAGCTGAGGTGGGAAGATCGCTTGAGGCCAGGAATTCAAGACCAGCCTGGGCAAATAGACACTATGTCAAATTGCACCGAAATTGGCAACACTGGTCTAAAGTTTTTATGGAAGAAGTCTGAGCTACTGTATTTAAAACCACGAGAGTGGATGAGAACACCTAGGGAGTGAACATAAATGGAGAAGTTTCCATAGACAAATCCTGGAGTGTTACAGTGTTAAGAGGTCAGGGAGATAGGGATGACCAGCAAGGTAGGAGGAGAACTAAGTTCGAGTGTCTTTGGAAAACCAAGTGGACAGCACGTTTCCAGGATGCAGTGATTTTTTTTTTTTTTTTGAGACGGAGTTTCACTGTTGTTGCCCAGGCTGGAGTGCAGTGGTGCAATCTTGGCTCACTGCAACCTCCGCCTCCCAGGTTCAAGCGATTCTCTTACCTCAGCCTCCTGAGTAGCTAGGATTACAGACATGTGCCACCACGCCCAGCTAATTTTGTATTTTTAGTAGAGACGGGGTTTCTCCATGTTGGTCAGGCTGGTCTCAAACTCCCAACCTCAGGTGATCCGCCCACCTCAGCCTCCCAAAGTGCTGGGATTACAGGCGTGAGCCACCCTGCCTGGCCTCCAGGATGCAGTGATTAACTGTATCGGGTGCTGATCAATATGAAGGTCATTGCTGGTCATTGGTGACCTTGATTAGATCAATTTGGATGGAGTGCCGGGAATAAAAGGCTAATTGGAGTGTATTTAAGAGAGAACAGGAAAGAAGGAACTGCAGACTGGGTATAGATGACTACAGGTATGTGCTGCAATAGCAGCAGATGGAGAAAGATGCAGTGGGGCTGTAGCTGGAGGAGTGTGGGTTCTAGTGAGGGTTTTGTTTTGTTTTTTAAGATGGAGAAATAACAGCATGTGTTTATGCTGATGGAAAGACTCCAGTAGAGAGGAAGAGATTGATGATGTAGGAAGTGATGGAAGTGAGTCGCTGAGCAGGCAAGGAAGCTCAGCAGCTGCAGCCTCTCTAGGCAGTCTCTGGGGAGAGACAAGATTGGACTGAGTCCTGGAACAGAGTCAGGGTGAGCGCCCTGACACTCGCTTTGGATGACCACTGGAAAGATTCCTCAGATAGGTGACAAGCCAGGGATTGGCTTGGATTTGCTGAAGCTTCCTTCTGTTCCCCAAAAGCAGATTCTAACTTGGATTTCAACAGATGGCTCAGAGGAGAGAAGGCATTCTGGGGGGTACTGGCGTAAGCATGGGGCCCTCAGACATTGAAACTGACTGAGGCCAAATGGGCAGGATGATGTGGGTAAAGCCAGATGGGTGGGCAGGGGTGGCACTGAGAAGATGCCATAGGCAGAAGGCAGCCCCTGAGGCTTTCTCACCTACCTAATCTGCCCAGGCAGCTGAAGCCACACTGTACCACCTCCCAGATTAAGTGAGTGCTGAGTACAGAGGTTAGAATCACGAGTAAGGGGCTCAGTCCTTGCCTTCAGGAGCTCAGGCTGAAAGGATTCCAGTAACCACCATCTAGGTGGGTGTTTAAAACTTGCTTTCGGCTGGGTGCGGTGGCTCACGTGTTTAATTCCAGCACTTTGGGAGGCTGAGGCGGGAGGACTACTTGAGGCCAGGAGTTGGAGGCTGCAATGAGCTACGATCATTGCACTACACTCCACCTTGGGTGACAGAGCAAGACCCCGTCTCAAAGAGCAAAAACAAAAAAGTGCTTTCCCCCGGCCCAGCATACTCGGGTGAGTCTGCTGGAAGCAATGGACGCTGCAGCCAATCAGACCCCTGGTAGCAGAGCCTGGGCCCACCAAGGGCCCAGCAGAGGCAACGTGGAGTACAGGGCCTGCTGGTCGTTTGGTCACACCCACTCATGCTGGTCTCCACATGCCCTTCTGTGTCCCCAGAGGTCGACAGTGTCGGGAGTTGGAGTGACCCAGCTGGATGTGACCCCCAAGACAGAATGGTGCTGGACTCCGGGGCTCAGGCGTATGATCAGGCACCCCCCAGCCCGCCTACCAGTCCCCCATCCCTGCGCCATAGGCTGAAGCCCTCAGACCGAGATGGGCCACCACTGTACCCCTGGTCTCAGTCCCTGGCCTTGCCCCTGGCTCTGGCAGTCCCCCCAGCACTGCAGCCCGAGCCTGAGCAGCAGCCCTTCTCACAGATGCACCTGGGCCACCGTGGCCACATGCGTCGCAGTGAGAGCACCTACTCTGTAAATAGTACTGGCCGGCGGGGACGTGGCACCCTGGGACGGCCTCCACCTGGACGGGGACAGAACCCAGGTGGGGGCACCCTGCGGCCTGCAGCCTCCCTGCCTCACATTGCTAAGACTCAAAGGGATGCAGGCCATAGTGCCAGCAAGAGCCCCTGCATGTTGGTGGCCCTGCGGCCAACCAATATGGACCGTGAGCGGGACAAGTTCTTCCAGTCCCATTACACCTACAATCCACAGTTTGAGTACCAGGAGCCCATGCCCACAGCTGTGCTGGAGAAGTACTGCGAGGCCTCTGGACAGTTCATCCATCAGGTCAGTCCAGCCTCCCCACCATACCCTGGCCCTGACCACCCAAGGGGCTTGTCCTGACCAGCCACTGTGGCCCCGTGTACAGGCAGTTGGCATCATTGAGGCTGTTCTGGAGAAGTTTGGAACCTATGAACACTTTGAGGCTGCCACCGGGGGGCAGCTGCTCACCAAGTGCCAGATATGGTCCATTGTGCGCAAATACATGCAGAAGGAGGGCTGCGTCGGGGAGGTGAGCTTGCCTGCAGAGCCCTTCCTCTACATGCCCCAAATCAGGGTGTCTTGTGGGTGACCCCAGGTCCAGCTCCACACATAACCCACCCCTGCCCCTGCCCCAGTGAGGTGGGAGCTGGTTCTGAGCAGAGGTGATGAAGCGCGGGTGCCCTGGCCAATTGTCTGGCCCTGCCGCCCTGTGGCATCATTGGGTCCACCTGCACCCTGGCCCCAGGCTGGTGGCCATGGCTCAGAGCACTGCCACCTGCAGGTTGTGGTGCAGCTGAGTGAGGACCTGCTGTCCCAGGCAGTGATGATGGTGGAGAACAGCCGGCCCACATTGGCGATCAACCTGACCGGAGCCCGCCAGTACTGGTTGGAGGGCATGCTGCGGCATGAGATAGGTCAGGGTGTGGGTATCCGGGTGGATGGGTGGGCATGAAAGGGGCCTGGGAGCTGGGAGGGGTGGGAAGGAGGGGCCCCAATAACTCCCCCTTTTGTTTCCACCCCTTCCCTTCTGAGGTCAGGGCTTTCCCTTCCTGAGCAGCTACCTCCGCCCTCTGGCTCACAGAGGTAGGCCAGAACATGCCTGCCCATGCTCTGGGCTCGCCCTCATCTCTTGGTCCTTTCGGGTATATTTTTCTCTCTCCACTTCCTCTCTGACTTCTCTCGACAGTGGGGGTAAGGCTGGTGAGGCCCTGACAGGCCAGAAGGAGAAGCCTCAGGGTCCCACCAGGCCACCCGCCACGCTGGCCCTCCAGGGTGGATGGAAGGCCAGATCCTGGGAATGGACTTGGCTTGAGGACACATGGCGCCTGGTTTAGGAGGGGACTGGCCAGGCTGGGCAGGAGGATGCAGGGCACTCACTGCTATT